GTGATGCGGACACTGAAGTGGTGGCCAGTTCACCCATTGATGTTATCAAAGAGGGCATGCAGAGGACCCTCGTCAGGTAAAGGGTTAATTCGGGTTAACACGGAGGAACTCGCTTGAAGGTACTGTGCTGTTGTGAACCCTGCTGAGGAGGATAATGCTGACAAGGTGAGGAATGTATGGCGTAGGAATAATAATGGGATGCCATACCACTCTCAGGCCACATCTCCCTTGAATGAGGCAGCTGAGGACACTGGTGAAGATGGTGATGTGCTGACGGTCGATGTTGTCGAAGTGCCGGATAACGAGGCACCGTCGTGGAGGGAAACCTTCTGTCGGAAGATCGGCCTTATTCGCAGTAGGCAAACTGCACCGAGTGTTGATGATAACCTCTTCAGAACCTCGTCGAGACTACGAAGCGAAATTGCTAGTTCGCTGCCCTCCTGGGTGTGCAGGAAAAGGTGCGGTCTTTCAAGGGGATCTCCTCGGCACTTTCTGATTATTCTCAGTCGTACCAGTGTCCCAGAGTTTGATGGTGGATGAACCCTCCTTGATTCCAAGGAGTTGCGTATACGAGACGCTTGATCGTGATGGTAGGACTATCATCAAACACATCGACATCGAAGCAGTAAGAAAAACGCCTTCCCTTTTTTCGTTGGTTAACTTACACATCTGTTTACGTCAGCCTGGTATTTCCTTCGATGATGTTGAGGTTTCCGTCATCAAACGAGAATGGCTGTCGTGCTTGGTGAGTAGGCTCTCCTTGTGGAGTGACAAACTTCACTTTTAGATGACGAAGCCAATACCTGAGGATGCCGAGAGTCGATTCAACTTCACTGAAAATACTATCGCCTATGGTTCTGTGCATCGGTGGTTCTGGCTTGGGAGCCCGACTAGCAAGGCACGCAACGGTGCAGCAGGTGATGATGCTGGCATCATGTACAGACCAGTGGTAAAGAATTATAAGGAATAGGGAATTGTAACTTCCTCTGTGTTGTCAGCCGCAACCAAATGGAATCTCACTCTTCAATGGCATATTATCGATACAGCTGTATCGCATCGATACGAGTCATGTGGTGAAAAGAAGAGCAAATCGCAGCGTTGCGGGCGGCAGTGCTGTGACGAGCACCACTGCTGGGCAGAGTAAGCATCCTGATGCAGCAACTCAGCAACGAGGAGAGACCCCAACTCGATTGATGATGAGTGAGT